CGATATAACTGTTGTACATATATGTTTTACACATATTGGAAGACCAGAGCTTGTTGCTAATGAAAGAAATATAATGTAACCGTGCTTTTTAGGCAGTCAGTGGAAAGAGGGAGGTGAGGAGGCTGATGTCTTGGCTCTTCAGGAATCGTTAGGACATTTTATTATTCTTTTTATTTATAGAGGGCTTGCTATTGAAGGAGGGGGGAGTTGTGGGGGGTAGGAAAAGCGGGCTGAAACGAAGAAGAGAGAGATGCTGTTCCGTTCCAGGAGGGAAGAGAGCATGCAGAGGTCTCTCAGTGATATTATGGGGGGTAAAAGGTGGGAAAGTGTTAGAGCCAGAGAGGGAAGGGCAAGGGGCACAGCAAGAGTCCATGTTGGGGAGGAGCGGATCACTACAATAACATTATATGCTGTTTTATTTACTTGTGGTATTTGTAGTCTCTTATATAAGAAAAGACTAAGATCACTATAGTAACTCCATTTGCAGGTGACGTAGCCAACTATGCCACCTACAGATTTAAAAGCTTCTCCCCTCAGGAGTTGTTGGATGTCCCAGAGTTACTGAGCAACAACATGTCTCGTTAAGCCTTTGTCCAAACACAATCATGAATTTGATCTGGAACACGAATGGAAGTAGAAACTACATATGCAGGAACTCAAATTCAGTAAATATTTTTTTAGTTTTTAAATCCAAATGAATGTCTTTTTTTTCTACTGATGTTTATTGAACTTTAAATAACAAAGTAACAAAGGAAAACCTGTTACAACACATGTCAGCAAAAACTAACATGGTAGCTCTAATATCAGAGTGCCGATGAAGGTGTGAATTCTGATTTAAATATCTTGCTTAATGAAATGATTGCCCAGTGGGTTGGGCCCAACAGAAACCGTATCCAAAAAGAAATGTAAAAAAAAACCCCAAAATGTTGCCAGAGATAACTTCAAATCTGAACAAAATATTGATTTTTGCACACATCAGTTGTGTACAATCTGTCAATCTATCTAAAGTAAAAGAGGGACAGAGCGTAGTTGACTCAATAGTAGAGTCAGGTTTCAGAAGTTAAAACCTATCAGCCATGCACTCTTTTTTCGTTAACAGAGGATACCCTACACACGTTATTGAGAGGGCCTTCTCCGGAGTCAAAACTAGCCCTCGGATCATCAACCCAATTAGGAACTGCTGGACTCACAACCTCATTCAATTGGTGCTTCTCTATCACCCTAACTCCCTGTAGAAAGCAGGTGTTGGGAGCACAGGTTAATCAACAAGGAGCAAGGTCATCTCATTTAGGTGAGGCACATGTTTCAAATTCTCACGAGAAAATCACTGAATTGGGTGTACCTGGAATCTCTAGATTAATTTAAAAGCAGTTCCTGAGACAGAGGTTGGCTTTACACAGACCCTCAGGGTTAAAAATAACAGTGGGCATTTAAAGGATGTTGCGGGGGTTGAAGAGATCTTCTTGTTCAACTAATCACAGAAAGATTATAGTGGGGTAATATTGGTAGCAGTCTTGGTCGTGTTCCGGGTCGGGATGGCAGTAAACAAGAAGGCGGTTAATGAGCGCACCTGGCCAACTGGAATCAAACAAGTGGGGCTCTTGCCATTGCCATCTGGGGAATTATACAGTTACGGTTCATGAGAAGAACTCCTTGCCACGCTCTCAGAAAGGGGGATCCTTCCCACTCTATTTCTATCTCTAGGATCATTAATAACAATGTCCCCATCTACAAGATGATCCCTCCACTAGTACCTTTTTTTCTGACTACCCCATCATCTTATATTATGGACTACCTAATCTGCATAAGC